GCACAGGACGATGGAACATGGAATTGGGACAGCCAAGTCAGTGGCAATTTCTGGCATGGAGAGCAGGAGGCAGGTGCTGTATGTGTGCGGATCGGTGCCAACCTGTATCTTAACTCGGGCAGGACTATGGATCATGGAAGGACAACGCCCAGAATCTTGAGCACAGAGATCAGGAGGTCTCATCTCTGCTGATTCTTCATATGATACAACCTTATTGTAGTGCCAATCACGAACATGAACCCTGGGACAGGTTGTTGGCGAAAAGCCATGCAAAGCCAGGAACACTTCGCAGGCAGGCTTGATTTATAAAAGCAAGATCAGTTGTTTCATATTGAAAAACAGCCTGCTTATCGACAGGACCTTCCGAATAGTCGCAGCCACGACAAGGAGGACAAAGCTTGGTATTCGTTTGTGCAAAACCTGCACGTTCTTGATTCAGGACGATGCAGAGTCCGAAGACTCAGAGTTTCAGAGGCTTGCCAGAGCCCCAACTTTGGTGCTTCCTGGGTATCCTCCCGAAGATTTGCAGAAGAAGGCCAGGCAATCTGACGATAGCGCTATTGTGCAATCAAGCCTCACTGCAAGGACAGCTGGGAGTCGGGATCCTCCTGGATGTACCCAGAATACTCTTTGTATCTGAAAGAGCTTTGCTGGGATGCAACACCGAGCGATCCCGAGGCAGCATTCATGTTCTCAAGTCGTCTGATGAACATATCTAATCGTGATTCCAGCCCCGGCCCCGGCTACAGGATGTCAAGAAGCTTCCAGCCGAAGCGCATGTCCCATCGACGCAACAGGCAGCGATTGTCCTCTGGGTGTTAATGCTTCGATTGTCATGCAATGCACTCGTTGCTGCTACTGTTTGCATATTCCTGATGAAGGACGACCTCACCCAAGGTCATCACGACTACGAGGCAGGATCCACTTGAATTCTCGTTGTTTGTGCAAAGTATTCATGGCTGCTTTCTATATCACCCCTAAACCTACAAACCCTTAACCTATGCTCCTCATACAGGACAGATATGCTGAAGATGATGACAAGAAGAAGGCATCCATCTGTTGTGCAATGCACTCATGGCTGCTCCCTATATAGTGTCTTAACG